CTTAATGGTTGTCTTGGGAGGGCTGCACCCCCAGCACCCCCCCCTTGCATCCTGTAAGCATGCCAAGCCCCTGAGATTTTCCGCTCATGTTTTGCCAAAATTTGAGGTGGGTGCCAAGGGGCAATGTCAGGCAGGACAGCGGCGCGGGGCACAGGCTGGGTTAGCTGGTTGGCTGGTGGCTCTGCTTCCCCGGCCCCATCTCCTCCAAAGAAAATGATGCTCATGTACCCACTGCTCCTTCCACTTCCAGGTGTTGGAGGTGCCTTTCAACCACGCTCTTCTCCATCCTGGCCCCTGCAGAAGAACAGCACTGAAACCCTCTGTTAGAAGACAAAGGCCAAGCAAAATCCAGGTTAAAGAGATGCTGCCAGTGGCCCTGCCAGAATACCTTTCCCGCAGTTGGCCCAAGCCCAGTGCTGGAGAGGCTGTGGTGTGGTGCCGCGAGCAGGTTCCTGAGCCATCGGTGGTGCGGAGCTGCCTGCAGCTCGTTGATCGTTGATCTCCCCCCAGCATGACTCCCCAGGGATGGCTTTGTCCTCCCCACACCAGCCCTGCTCCCCTACAGTCCCCACGAATGGCTGGGGGAGGATGGCCCTGTCACAGCAGCACTGGGAGGAAGGGCTGAACAATTGCTGCTTATCAGTTTGTGTCCTCTCCCTGCAGAAGAAGGCATGTTGTTCCCTTCATGTTATCAGCTGTCACCAAGTAATATGCTGGGGAACAGTGTTGCTCAAAAATTGAGTCATTTGATACAGATCTGCTTTTGCCCCACTGCAGCCTGGGGGTGCCGAGGGCTTGGGCACTTGCATTTTCGTATTCTAGCTGCTTGCAGGGGCTGTAATCTCATCCCTTGTCTTGGGCAGTGTTTTTGGAGGTAAGAGCATGAAAGGAGTCAGCTCCACTGCTGTGGAGCTGGAAAGGTGCCTCCCTCCCTGACGCTGCTCCCCCTCTCCCTCCTGCCAGCTTCCAGCATCATTTTTTGGGCACAGGGATGGCTTTCCTGGCACTGCTAGGGAGAAGCAGAGAGAGCGGAGTATGCAGAGGTGGGCTTGAGCCAGTCTCTGTTCAGACCCCTGGACCTGAGCACTTTGAGAGGCTGATCAGTGCAAGGCTGGATCTTGTCTTTGCAGGTTGAGCTTCCCTCTGATGCTGCATGGAGAGCGCTTTGCCTTCCTTTTCTCATGAGCATCCATGAGTCGTCTTTGCGGTGGCCTGATGTTTGTCCCCAAGACATAACTGCTCTTTGCAGAGGCAGAGCCCTTTTATCTCTTCCCTGCCCTTTAGATCAAATGAGCACTGCTGCCCACGGGCTCCGATGAGGCAGCCAGTCCTCTGCTCCCCTTCCCTGGGAGGCACAGAGACGGCTGCTCAAAAAACGAGTTCTCCTTCCATGGAAAACTGGCACTTGGAAAAACCCTATCCATCCTGAATCAGGCAAAAGGGAGCCATGTAAAGACCCTTAATGAGATGAGGAGTATCTCTAAAGCATCTAAATGGAAAGTTGTAAGGAAGTGATGCTGCGTGATGGTTGTGGTTCTCTGGATCAGGAAGTAAAAAAGGTGCTGACGGTTGACGTCATTAATAGATACACATTTTGTGCTGGGATAATTCTGCTGGTGGCTGTTGAATCCTGGCTCTCACCTTGGCCTGTCTCGCAGTGCTGTGCTGGGGATCCAGAGGGCAGGCCAGAAGGATGGATTTAGTAGTCTGATCTCTCTACAAGATGTAGGATTCCCTGAGCAAGTGCCTCTTGAAGCTGAACACAGCTGCTTGCAAGAAAAATTTCCATTTAAATGTTTGCAGTGAGAGAGTACCCACTGTGACTCTGGAGCTGTCTCAGGGGCTAATGTCCCTGCATCTTCTTACATCTGAATTAGCCCAGCTTCAGCTTCCAAGCATAGGACCACTTTAAACCTTTGGGTGCTAAATCCACACCATCTACCGACAAATTCTTGTTTCCTGGCGGTGCATGGAGACTTTGGTCAGTGTCTGACAGATTTGGAGAGGAACCAGCAGCAGGCTTGGCTTATTCTTTCTAACAGTGTTTCTCCCCGACGTCTTCACAGCCAGGTGTTAAAAAAAAAAAAAAAAACAAACAAAAAAACCAAAAAAACCTGTAGCTTTACCTTACATGTTAGGGCTGGAAGGAGAGCACAGTGCTGGCAGCCCTGGGCTGTCAGATGGTGGGGTGGTGGCTGCGGGTCCCTCCTGCCCTCCTCCAAACTGCAGGCCCAGCCAGCTCTCAGCTGCCCAGCTTTGCAGCAGCGGATGCTGCTTGGGGGCAGAAGACTTTCAGTCTGAATGCGAGCAATTTTGGGGGGCAGATTCAACCCCAGCCGCTTGGGTAATAGCATGGGATGAATTCAGTTCCAGCAAGTGGGAGCAGCCAGTGTGTGTATGGTGGGGTGTGCTCACTGCCCCAGGGCTGAGGAAGAAGCCAAAGACATTTTTGCGCTGCATGCTTAGGTAGTCTAAATTTTTCCTATTTGAATCACCCTCTGGAGTTAGTTTTGTGTATTGCTAGACTTGCACCACTCTCTTCTTGGCAGCTGGAAATTAGCTGGTGAAGATTGCGTCTGCCAGAGCTGCTACAGCTGAGCCTTCCTAGGGCTGCAAACACTGAAGGCAGTGCTTGTTTAGCTAATGGGATGTTGCCATTGGATTTCTTTTTTTATTTTTATTTTGAAGAAATATTTCTGTCAATCAGATTTGTTTCAAGCCTTCTTTTTACACAGCCTCGAACTGGGGCCCATCTTTGATCCGCAGCTTCCCCATAATCAAATAATAATAATAATAATAATGACGTTTTGAGCTTTGCTGCTGAGAACCCATTAACTGCAGGACAGTTTCCTGGTGTGTACAAGCCATGGGGACACTTCTCATGGTTCGCCGTAGGCACTGGGGATGTGGTTTCATCTCCCTGCACAGCCGTGTGAGCAGTCATGCGGTCCTGTGTCCAGTTGGCTCACTAGAGCGATGCTGGTAGAAACAAAAGGGGCTTTAGGAGTGGTTTGAGGTCTGGGCAATATCCTGTGCAGGAGGATGGAGAGAGACGCAGCCCGTCAAGCAGTGGGCTGCCCTGGGAGGCTGGGTGCCTCCAGCCAGCAGAAGACAAGCACTGCAAGATGCCTTGGATGGGTGGTAGATCCTGTGCTGTGATCCAGACCTGCCCAGACTTGAGGTGGCTGCTCTTCAGGCTGCACTCCCTGACTCCCCTGTTCCTGTTTTTCCTCTCTTTGCAGGCACACATTCTGGCAGTATCGCCGTGAGAACCCCCAAACCAAAGTGGGGGACCCCCCTCCTGATGGGCTGCCCGGCTTCAACAGTGGCGTCCTGCTCCTGAACCTGGAAGCCATGAGGCAGTCCAAGCTCTACAACCAGCTGCTGGAGCCCACCGTGGTGCAGAAGCTGACGGAGAAGTACCACTTCAAGGGCCACCTCGGAGACCAGGATTTCTTCACCATGGTGGGGATGGAGCACCCAGAGCTCTTCCATGTGCTTGACTGCACATGGAACCGGCAGCTTTGCACGTGGTGGAAGGACCATGGATACAGCGACGTGTTTGACCAGTACTTCCAGTGCGAGGGTGAGGTCAAAATTTACCACGGGAACTGCAACACCCCAATCCCTGAAGACTAGAGCACCCACCGCCCCTGGGAGCAGCGGTGACTGCAGGAAGCCCTGCAAAGCCGTAGTGGCTG